TGCGCTGAGTACCACTCAGGCATACATGGTCTGGAGCTGTGACCTAGCAAACCCCAACAACCTACAGCAGAGGTCCTGACTGTTAGAAGACACAACGAAAGGAACACCCACACACAAAACCCATCAGTATGTCAACCACCATCCAAAGACCAAAGCAGATAAAACCACAAAGATGGGAAAAAGCAGTGCAGAAAAGCGGAAAATCCAAAAAAATCAGAGCACATCTCCCCCTCCAAAGAAACGCAGACTCATCGCCAGCAGATGGACACAAAGCTGGATCGGAGGAATGATTTTGATGAGTGAGAGAAGGAAGGCTTCAGATGATCAAACTTCTCAGAGCTAAAGGAGGAACTACGTAACCAGGCAAAGAAACTAAAACAACCTTGAAAAAAGAATGGATAGGATAACTAGAATAATCAATGCCAGAGAAAGTCTTAAAAGAACGAAGAGAATGAAAACACCTAACACAAGAACTATGTGACAAAGGCATAAGCTTCAGTAACCTGACTCAATCGAACTGGAAGAAAAGTATCCAGCCTGATTGAAGATCGAATGAAAGAAGCGAGAAGAGAAGTTGTACACGAAAAACAGAAAGAATATCAACATAGCTGCCAAAAAATATGGGATTATGGAAAAGACCAAATCTACGTCTGATAGGTGTGCCTGAACAAGTGACGGGGCGAAAATGGAACCAACTTGGAAAACACTCGCAGCATATCATCCCAGGAGGATTCCCAACGTTAGTAAGGCAAGGCCACACATTCAAATTCAGGAAATAAGAGAACGCCACAAAGATAACTCCTCCGAGAAGAGCAACTCCAAAGACCGCAATTGTCAGAATCACCAAAGTTGAAATGAAGGAAAAAATGTTAAGGGCAGCCCAGAGAGAAAGGTCGGGTACACACAAAGGGAGCCCATCAGACCTAACAAGAGATGCTCTCGGCACAAAACTCTCCAAGCCAGAAGAGAGTGGGGGGGCCAATATCCCAACATTCTTAAACGAAAAGAAATTTTCAAGCTACTGTGGGGAGGGGGTGAGAAGAGGGATAGCATTAGGAGATATACCTAATGTAAATGACGAGTTAATGGGTGCAGCACACCCACATGGCACATGTATACATATGTAACAAACCTGCACGTTGTGCACATGTACGCTAGAACTTAAAGTATATTAAAAAAAAAAACATTACTGAACTGTACACTTAAAAATGGTTAATATGGGCCGGGCCTGGTGGCTCATGCCTGCAGTCCCAGTTCTTTGGGAGTCCGAGACGGGTGGATCCTGAGGTCAGGAGATCGAAACCATCCTGGGTAACATGGTGACACCCTGTCTCTACTAAAAATACAAAAAATTAGCCAGGCGTGGTGGCACGTGCCTATAGTACCGGCTACTTGAGAGGCTGAGGCAGGAGAATGGCTTGAACCCAGGAGGTGGAGGTTGCAGTGAGCCGAGACTGCACCACTGCACTCCAGCCTGAGTGACAGAGCAAGACTCTGTCTCAATTAAAAAAAAAAAAGAAAAAGATTAATATGGTAACCAACTTAAGTGCTTGAATGAATTCTTTGTCAATAGGCATCCTGTAATCAGAAAACATTTTGTATCCCTAATTTCATATCCATTACCAACAAACCTTAACACAAACTATAAAATATTACAGTACAAAATGTAGTATGCTTTGCCAAGCTCACAATTTCTTTCTTTTTTTCTTTTGGAGACAGTCTTGCTCTGTCACCAGGCTGGAGTGAGTGCAGTGGCACGATCTTGGCTCACTGCAACCTCCACCTCCCGGGTTAGAGCAATTCTCCTGCCTCAGCCTCCTGACTAGCTGGGACTACAGGCGTCCGCCACCACGCTTGGCTAATTTTTTTGTTGTATTTTAGTAGAGTTGGGGTTTCACCATGTTGCCCAGGCTGGTCTCCAACTCCTAACCTCGGGCAGTCTGCCTGCCTCGCCCTCCCAAAGTCCAGGATTACAGGCATGAGACACCGCACTTGACCCCAAGCTCACAATTTCTATTCAGTGCTTTTCACGGTGAGGGATAGGCAGTATAGCTATCATTATAATAATAACTCATTATTCAACTTTTTCAGGACAGTGAGGTGAGAACAATATAAAGTGATCTTTTTCTAAATTTATCTGAATTCAACTGATTCTTAAAGCAATGATAAAGCATATATAAATAAATAACTTACATCTTGTTAATTTCTTTGGACTCTGTGAAGGCACTGGCTGGTTATCAGTGTGTGAAAGACGAAGCTCTGATTCCTCTTGGGAGACCCAGCCTGGGATAAAAGAAGTAAAAATTGTCCATTGTTAATCAAATAGGAAGTAGCATCAGAAAAACAAGAAAAAGTAAAAATATCTAAGTCCTCCAGTCTCTGTACCTGGGTAAGATTCTATAGTGTAAGAGGTATAAAATACTGAAAACTTATCTATAGTCATATATTTTCATCATCTTAGTTTCAGATAGAGTTGGATCCAACTTCCTTATATTTTTCAAAGTGGTTTTGAAATAAACATGTGGAGTGTTTAAAAAATAATTGAAATGCAAAAGGTATAGGAAGAAGTTCTTAAGAGTCAAGAAGGGAGGAATAGGCCTGATAATTGGAATGCTGAAACCTATAAATATGCTCATACCCTTGGACTCATTGATCCCATTTCTAGCAATTTTTCTTATGGAAATAATTTAGCTGAAGGAAAAAGTGCATGCATGACTTTTTTTTGCAGCATTATCTGTAATAATGAACAAGTAGAAACAATAAGGAATCAGGTAGATTATGTTATATAAAATGACAGTACTTTGTAATTAAAACTTGTCATTATGAATACTCTGTGGGAATGTGGAGAAATGTTTGGTACAACATGAAAAACCATTTATGCTATGATTAAGGCACAGCACTAGAAAGGAATTTAGATTATCCTGCCTAATCCCTTCCTTGTATAGAAAAGATCATCTGAGGCCCACTGTAGATAGGGTTCCTCAAACACAGATCTTTTAACTCCCAGGGAAGCTCCCTTTCCTGGTCTGCACCACAGGAGAGAGAGAAGTAGATATTTAGGAAAGACTGGTAAAGTAGAGTTCTGCACAAAGAGGCAGGGGCAGATTTTGGTCCTGTCTTAACTATTTAAATTGTCTGACGACCTTTAGCAAGTTACTCAAATACTGTGGGTTTCAACTGTTCAGCTATTAAATTGGAATATCCTGTCTGCCTGCAGGTAGGGCTCAGAGCACATATTTTGAATAGTGAAAAAATACTGTTGAGGATTGCATTGCCAGAAACTAAAAGTTCAGTGCTGCTAGAGACGTGGCAAGTTATGGAGGAGGAGGGAGGAGTTGACAGTGGAGAGTGAAATCAGTTTGTAAATCTTTATAGCTACTGGGCCGTTGATATGCCATACAAGAATAAATATTTTTAAAGATTTTACTGTAGCAAAAACACCTGAATTATCCCAGATAGAGTACCTTGTTATCAAATAATATTGTCTATTATTTATATTTATTTTTATAAATAGAATATAAGTAATATAAATATTCTGTTTATATTATATATTATTCTATTCAATCAATTCTTACTGATTATTTAACTAACATTTAGTTTATTAATTGAGCCAACTGCATGCTGCTGTCATATAAAGTACAAAGATGACTCACTCTGCATATCATGCCCTTGGGATGCCTGTAGATAAAGCATGTACCTCAGTATTTAATACAAAGTACAATGCATTAAGACACTGTCAAGTGCCGTGAGGAGTCCCCCCATCCAGGGGTTAAAATCTAGGATGTGAGAGACTGGGATATAAAGCAAAATAAAGTAGGATTAGAACCATGAAAATAGATAAACACCATAGGAGGAGGGAGAAACCATTTCCATTTGGCAGTACTGAGGAAGACTTCAAGGACTGACAATCATGGAGAAAACACTGGATTGGAATCTAATACTTAGGCCCATGTCCAGGCTCCATTACTGAACATCAGAAGCAGAAGAAGCAACACGAGCACAGATAGATGCATCAGAGGGCTGCAGAGCACTCAGTGTGATTATAGAAAACGGCAAGTATTCTTCCTTCACTTCAATAGGAGATAGGAGATATGGATGGAAATGCGACATAGGCAGGTTTTATCCCTAGAAACCATGGTGTTTCATTTTTAAAAATGTAAGCTGGGTGCTGACATCAGAATCTGCTGCTTGGAGAGAGAACTCCACGGAAGTGTAGAAGATGAATTGGGGGTTGGAGAGCTGTTAGTAACTCTTGCAATAACCTATGAAACCAAATGAGACTCTAAATGGCTCTGGTGTTGAGGCAGAGAGGAGTGGGAAATTTGAGACAGGTTTCAGAAACGGAACTGACAGGATTTGGTAACCAATATGGATATGGGAAGCAAAGTGACCCCTAAGGTGCAGGGTTGGACACAGAATGGTGGACTCTTTTTCCTGCTGCCTTGCCCAGAAAGGGAACCAGCCTCCAGAGCTGTTCCTTTTCCTCTTGTCAACTCCAAACTCAGCAAGTTTTGCTTGATGGAAGAAACAGTATTGACTGCCCTAGGGAGGAGTAATTAGCAGGTCAAGTGTTTTAAACCAGACGCCTGGAAAAATCAGTGAAGAAAACTTGGGGTCTGGTGAAGGTGGCAGGGAAGCAGCCCTTGTTTCAGTCTTGTTGACAGATTCCTGAGGTGACTAATATTTTTCCAGTTGATTGGTGGATTGCAGATTTTATCTAGTAGAGCTGACGTTAAAATCAATCTCCTTGTTGATTCTAGCATCAATAAGCACACCATTTTACTTCACAAAGATAAAGTAAAGCACATATGTCCAAATGTTTCATAGACACTTACTGTTGAATGCTCCAGCCGCATGAAAGCCAAGGTCAAAAAGTTGTGAAGGAAGGAATCGAGAAGAATGAGCGAGGGGCTCAGACCCCATGGAAGGCTCCTGGGATGTGAGACTGGCACTGGGACTCCCAAAGGCAGTCTGGCATTCTTGGGTAAATTCACTAGTACTTGAAGAACCAGAACTTAGGAGGCTGTTCAGAAATGAGAATTCCTTCTCAAAATCTTCTCCTTCCAATGAATCTACAGGTAGATCTTTTGCAACTATTGAGTGTAAATAAAAACAGAAAGGCTTTTTTTGATTTTAGGAAATGAGAATAAGACATAGGACGAATCAAATTTGTTTCATTGTTTTCATACTGTATTAACAGTTTTAAACAAACAACTAAAGTGACTGCAAGTTTATGTGAAAATGATTTCTAATTAGGCAGGATTTAGGTCAAAATGGCCACATTTCACAATGAAGATATAACTTATGAAGAGCTATATATGAAATAATTAAGCTACCATCTAAGTCAGAAACCAAAGGAGATGCAAAAAGGCATAGAAACAAATTAGTAATATGACACTTTAATATACCAGTCTGACTAAAAAACACGCCAAGAGGACAACAGATAAAAAGGATCAAAAGAGCATAATCAATAATGTAGTTATTTTGGATAACACAAACCCCGGTAATAGAAACATTCTTCTTAACCACACATTGAAAATGTACAAAAGTTGATTATACTAAGGCACAAACACACAAAAAATTGTATTCTTAAAGTAGGAACATTACAAACAACATGCTCTGATCATAATGCAATAAAAAGACAATTCTACAATGAAACTATAAAAACAGAAAGGTCCTTCCACCTGTAAATCTTAAAACCTTCTACCAAACAATGTTGAAATAATGAGAAACATCATTATTTCGGAAAAATAATGATGAAGGAAATATTTTATATCATAATTCATGGTGTTAAGTAAAATGTATAGACCATTGGTTTGGACTGAGCTCTTGTACTAGACCCAACAGACCAAACCAAAATGGAGTCACTCATGCTAAAGTTCTACATCACCAAACCGAACTAAGTTATCTGGCCTTTCAAGAAATTAAGAGAGAGACACCACAGCCAAGTCCCCAAGCAGGCCAGTCCTAGCTGGCATGATAAGGAAATCCCCTCTGCTTTAACCCTTACAAGAAAAGTAACTGCAATGATCAATCTACTTTTTGTTTTCTGTTTCTGCTTTCCCTGGTCCTTTTCTGTCTATAAAACCAACCTCCTCAGAACACCCATTCCATGTTATAGAATGGGGTACTGCCTGATTCTAGAATTGCAAATAAAAGCCAATTAAGGTCTTTAAATTTGCTGTAATTTTACCTTTTGACAACAGAATAGTTAAATGGCATGAACAAAGGCAAAATCATATCCCTTAAACATTTTTATAAATAAAAATGAAAGGAAGGGGCGTCACAGACCTGCACCCCAGCATAATTGGTGAAAGTTATTTTTCAAAACAAAGAAGCATTTAAAGTCTCTGGAAATAGTCCCAAGGATATGCAGCAAATGAGGAAATATTTACTTAAGATTAAGTCTACAATAATTTAGGAAAAGTGGCAAGAGTTTGTGGTATTTGAACTGAGAACCAGTCCCATCTTCCCAATTTCCAACTTAGCAAAATGGAGATTCCACTCCAGTCTGGTGCAGCCAGAACACAGGGCTCCTTCTCTCTCCAGCTGTCAGTCAAGGACTAGCTTCCCAGGAGGAGTAAGATGCCAGCATTTCACATCCTGTCCCCAGTTACCTGTTGCTGAGGCTAAATCCTAGGTGAGTGCAGTCAATAGATGATAGAGGCTCCCATCTCCTCCCCAGATCCCTCATGGGTTGGGAAGTCTGAGTTTGGTGTAGTGTGCTGAGAATATAGGGCCCCTGATCACTTGACCCTGCTAGTAAAGTGGTGGTTTCATGAAGAAAGAGGCAAGCTAAGAAGACCTAAGGCTACCATCACTCTCCTCACCTAGCACTCGGCTCCTAGAGCAAGGATGACACTCAGGAAGAAGTATGCCATTGTCCCCACTCCCGGCTCAAGCTCTGACTCAGAGATTTTCCTTGCAGGGGGTGAGGGAGAACCATAAAACTGATAGTTCCTAATCCCTTTCCAAAGGCACTGACTTCATTTGTAACAGAGTGTAGAGAAATTCAACCCTAAGGATGCTCTCAAAACAGTGGAGGTTTTAGTAACAGGCAACTGGGAGAAGACTTACAGTGTATGAGTCTCAACATGTAGGCTAAACTGTAGGCCAGCTACTTTGCCTGAAGGAACCAGGGAAAAAGCCAGCTGGGGTCACCACAAATTTCAGTGACCTTAAGAACTATTTCTTTAAATGAGTCCAAATTTGATTGGTTTATTGTGTGGAACAATTTATGCTCCAGGGACTGTTGAAATCAACAGAGCAATCAGCAAGAAGAAAAAATGGTATCTTGGACTTACAAAGAATTTTGTGCTTCCAAAGGCAAAATTGAGAAAATAAAAAGACTCTAAAATATAAAAGACTGGGATAAAATATTTACAAGTCATATATCTGATAAAGGACTTTATAAAAAATATATAAACTCTTACAACTTAATAAGATAAGCAACCCAATTAAATAATGGGCAATAGATTTGAATAGATTTGTCAGTAAGGAAGATATACGAATGGCCAATAGCACATGAAAAGAGTCTCAACACCATCAGTCCCTGGAGAAATGCAAGTCAAAGCTACAAATTAAAAGCACTAGAATAGCCAGGCACTGTGGCTCACACCTGTAATCCCAACACTTTGGGAGACTGAGGCAGGTGGATCTCCTGAGGTCAGGAGTTCGAGACCAGCCTGGCCAACATGGCAAGACCCTGTCTCTACTAAAAATACAAAATTAGCTAGGCATGGTGGCGAATGCCTGTAATCCCAGCTACTCAGGAGGCAAGGTTGGAGAATCGCTTGAACCCGGGAGGCGGAGGTTGCAGTGAGCTGAGATTGCACCATTGCACTCGAGCCTGGGCAACAAGAGCAAAACTCCGTCTCAAAAAAAAAAAAAAAAAAGCACTAGAATAACTATTATTTAAAATATACCGGGCATGGTGGCTCATGTCTGTAATCCCAGCACTTTGGGAGGCCAAGGCAGGTGGATCACTTGAGGCCAGGAGTTCAAGACCAGCCTGGCCAGCATGGTGAAACCCCATCTCTACTAAAAATACAAAAATTAGCTGGGTGTGGTGGCACATGCCTGTAATCCCAGCTACTCAGGAGGCTGAGGCAGGAGAATCACTTGAACCCAGGAGGTGGAGATGGCAGTGAGCTGAGATCGTGCCACTACACTCTAGCCTGGGTGACAGAGCAAGTGACAGAGCGAGACTCCGTCTTAAAAAATAAAATAAAATATAGACACTACCAAATGTTGGCAAAGATGTGGAGAAACTAGAACCCTCACACTTTGCTGGTGGAAATAAAATGGTGCAATTATTTTGAAAAAAGTTTGGCCGTTCCTTAAGAAGTTAAATTCACCATGTAACCTAGCAGTTCCACTCCTGGGAATCTAACCAAGGAAAACGACAATGTATGCCCACACCAAGAGAAGTACATGAATGTTCAGTAGTCATAGTAGTAGTATAATAGCCAAAAATTATAAACAATCCAAATATCCATCAACTGGTAAATAAGTAAACATAAGATGGTATATATCCATACAATGGAATACTATTGCTTAATAAAAAGTAATAAACTGGCCGGGGGCAGTGGCTCACACCTGTAATCCCAGCACTTCATGAGGCCGAGGTGGGCGGATCACAAGGTCAGGCCATCCTGGCTAACACAGTGAAACCCTGTCTCTACTAAAAATACAAAACAAATTAGCCGGGTGTGGTGACATGCACCTGTAGTCCCAGCTACTGGGGAGGCTGAGGCAGGAGAATCGCTTGAACCCGGGAGGCAGGTTGCAGTGTGCCAAGATCGTGCCACTGCACTCCAGCCTGGGCGACAGAGTGACACTCGGTCTCAAAAAATAATAATAATAAACTACTGATACATACCACAACATGGATGACTCTAAAAACCATTAATTGGAAGATGCCAGAAATAAAGGACTAACCTTTTGTATGGCTTCATTTATATGAAATGTCCAGAAAAGGCAAATTTATAGAGATAAAAACAGATTACTAATTACCTACGGCTTGGAGTGAATCAGAGATTAATTTAAAACAAGCATGAGAGAATTTTGGGGGTAATGGAAACATTCTAATATCTAATTGTGGTAATGGTTGCATAATCTAAATTTTCTAAAAATTATGAACTGTTAGAATGGGTGAAATTTATGGTATTTAAATTATACCTGAATAAAGCTGTTAAACATAAAAAGAAATTTTGTGCAACTCTATTTCAAATAAATTTAGAAGTCTAGACAAAATGAATAATTTATTAGAAGAATATAATTTACTAAAATCAATCCCAGTACAGACTAAAAGCTTAAACGGACTGATTTCTATAGAGAGATACAAAAAACACACAACTACAAGAAAGCACTAGACCTAGATGTTTTCATAGGTTAAGAAATGAATAAGAGGCCGGGCACAGTGGCTCACACTTAGCAAATCGCAGCACTTTGGGAGGCTGAAGTGGGCGGATCACCTGAGGTCAGGAGTTCAAGACCAGCTTGGCCAACATGGCGAAACCCCATCCTCTACTTAAAAAAAAAAAAAAAAAAAAAAAATATATATATATATATACTATATAAGTATATAACACCCACACAGCACAAAAAAAAAAATTAGGCCAGTCGTGGTGGTGGAGTGCCTGTAATCCCAGCTACTCAGGAGGCTGAGCCAGGGAGACACTGCCTTCGACCTGGGAGGTGGCGAGGTTCCAGTGCAGCAGAGATCGATGTCACGCCCACTCCAGCCTGGGTGACAGAGAGACTCCACTCTCAACGAACAACAACAAAAGACATGCAAAAAAGCCAGCGTGGCAGCTTATGCCTGCTAATGCCAGCACTTTGGGAGCCTAGGCAGGTGACGCACCTGAGGTCAGAGTACAGACCAGGCTCTGACAACATGTGTGAAACCCCATCTCCTAACTAAAAATACAAAATTAAGCCAGGCATGCGTGCGCATGCACCTGTAATCCCAGCTATTTGGGAAGGCTGAGGCAGCGAGAATTGCTTGAAACCTGAGAGGCAGAGGTTGCAGTGAGCCCAAGAACCGTGCCCACTGCATCCAGCCCTCAGTTGAAAGAGTGAAACTCATCTCAAAAAAAAAAAAAAAAAAAAGAATGCAAAGAGAGTAGTAAAATGTTAGCAAGCAGACTAGTATAAAATGACAAAGCTGGACTTACAACTGGAATGCAAACATGATATAATATCAGGAAACTTATTATTATAGTTCATCATATTAATATATTTAAGAAGAAAAAGCAAATATTTCCTGGCATAGATACTGAAAAAGCTGCCAACAAAATTCAACAACTATTAGCTGGGTGTGGCGGTATGCACCTGTAATCCCAGCTACTTGGGAGGCTGAAGCATGAGAATCGCTTGAGCCCAGGAGGCAGAGGTTGCAGTGAGCCAAGATCACACCACTGCACTCCTGCCTGGGTGACAGAGTGAGACTCCATCTCAAAAAAAAAAAAAAAAAATCAACAACCATTCCTAATAAAAATTCTTAAGAAAGTAAGTATGGATGGATGCTTCTTTAACATTATGAAATATATCTGTGTCCAAAGCCAGCATCTTAGTTAATTCAGAGATATAGGCATTTCCACTAAAGTCAGGAAATGTTCACTACTAGTTAACATTGTTCTAAAGGTAGTAGCCAATGTAATTAAACAGGAGAAATCTATGAGTTGGTAAGGAGAAGAAACAAGACAATCTCTATTTTCAGATGACATGACTCAAATAACAAAAGAATTCAGCTGTATGCCAGGATATAAAACTAACATGCAAAAGTGAATAGCATTCATATATACAAAATAACTAATGAAAAGATATAATGGAAAAGAAAACCCCATTTACAATAGCAACCAGAAAGATAAAATACATAGAAATAAACTTAACAGGAAATATTCAAAACCTGTATGAAAAAAAAGTCTGAAAGATATACAAGTAAACTTTAACAAATGGAAGGATGTCCCTTGTTTTTCATGAGGATGTCTCAAGGTGATCAGCCTGTCAGTTTTCACATTTAATGTGATTACAATAAAGTATCGAGCTTTTTAATAAAGCCCCACAATTTTATATTCAAATTGAAAAAATAAACATGCAAAAATAGCTAAGAAAATAATAATTTTTAAAAAAAGGAGGGGGGCTTCTAGCCTTACCAGATACTAAAACTAGAAGAAAGTTTCTGTAATTAAAACTATGTGGGCCAGGCGCGATGGCTCACTCCTGTAATCCAGAGGCGGGCGGATCACCTGAGGTCAGGAATTCAAGACCAGCCTGACCAACATGGAGAAGCCTTGCCTCTACTAAAAATACAAAATTAGCCGGGCGTGGTGGCACAAGCCTGTAATCCCAGTTACTTGGGAGGCTGAGGCAGGAGAATCGCTTGAACCTGGGAGGCAGAGGTTGCAGTGAGCCAAGATTGCACCATTGCACTCCAGCCTGGGCAATGAGGGCAAAACTCCATCTCAAAAAAAAAAAAAACTTGTGGCACTGTTGCATGCACACACCATTTGAAATATAAAGAAAGTCTAGAAATACATCCAAGTGGAAATAGAAATATAGTATATGACAAGATGTTATCTCAATACTAGGACAAAGATGGCATTTTTAAAAATTACATAAAGGGCAGGGCGTGGTGGCTCTCATCTGTAATTCTAGCACTTTGGGAGGCTGAGGTGGGCAGATCACTTGAGGCCAGGAATTTGAGACCAGCCTGTCCAACATGACGAAACCCCATCTCTACTAAAAATACAAAAAATTAGCTGGGCGTGGTGGCGCATGCCTGTAATCCTAGCTATTTGGGAGGCTTAGGCACAAGAATTGCTTGAACCCAGGAGGCAGAGGTTGCAGTGAGCGAAGATCATGCAGCCTGGATGTCAGAGCAAGGCTGTTTAAAAAAAAAAAAAAAAATTGTATAAAGGATAGCCTTTGTGGGGGGGGGGGAAGGTAACATTTGATCTATTGCTAACACTGTACACATGAATTAACTTCAAATGAATTCAAGATCCAAATGTTATATGAAATACTATTTAAATACCAGAAGAAAGCATAAGAGAATTCTTCTATACTCTGGGTTTAGGAAAAGCTTCCTGACTATGACTAAAGTCCAGATCCAATAAAAGAAAAGATTAACCAATTGGACTGTATTTAAAGCTTAAAAATTTTTTTTTAACTTAAAAAAAATTAAAGAAACAAAGTCACAAGACAAATGACAAACTAGGAGAAAATGTTTACAACCTAATTGCTTGAGAAAGATATTCAAGGTAGTTATTTAATGCTTAGGAAGTACCTTAAAGTTGATTTAGTCTTGATCCTCATTTTACAGATAAGGAAACCCGATGTTGGGGGCATACTTTTGTTTCTTAAATAGTGATTTTAATGTATTTAATGTTGAACGACATTTACTATTTTGCCAGTATCTAATGACACTAGATATACAAACAATTGTATTCATTCATTCAACAAATATTTACTGAGTGCTTATACTGCTGGTGGCTGAGATACGTGAGACAGAAAAGCAGACACAGCCCTAGTTGTCCTGGTTATACGAATACATTCTGATAGGGCCCAAACATACAAAACAAATAATTATTTAATTTCCATTGTGATGTGCTACAAAGTAGAAGCACATAATTGCATTCTTATATAGAGACCGAGACAGTTTCTAATGTTAAGGAAATAAATGTTAAATAAAAATTGAAGAATTTTAAAGAATCATTCATATGTAGAGTGAAATGATTATTTCTTACCATTTTCAGAGTTAGAAAACTGAGGTGCTCCAAATTCTCTCATTTGAGAATGTGTTTCCTTGTGATCTTTGTTTGCTAAATTAAAAGCACACAAAAGAGAATTTGAACAAGAAGAAATTCAGCAAGCTTATTTACTGTAATATTTTATCATTAGGTCAAGTGTTCAGTTGACCAAATCAGAATCTAAAACATACAAAAGGGAAACTTAAAAATTTAAATAATCTTATATATAAAAATCACATTTGTGTGTGTATATATATGTGTGTGTGTGTGTGTGTGTGTGTGTATGTGTATATAAAAATAATACCAGAGGTATTCAGGTTCTCTATTAAGTCTCTGTCCCCTTGAAATGTAAGTTTTCACGTTCCAAAGCCTATTCCTTCCTTGTGGAGCTGTTCTTATTCTATACTCTCTGATAGGTCATTTTATATTTGTTCTGCCTGATCTCCATGCCTTGACACTCTGACACAATGGATGTTCATTTTACATTGAATGAATGAATGTGGTCTACGATTTTATTATTGTTTAATTGACAAAAGTATATAATTTATCACATACAACATGTTTTGATATATGTAATACATTGTGAAATGACTAAATTTAGCTAATTAACATTTGTATTACCTCACATACCATTTTTTGCGGTGAGAACACTGCTCTCTTAACAGTTTGTTGTTGTTGGTTTTTGAGACAGAGTCTTGCTCTGTCGCCCCAGGCTGGAGTGCAGTGGCACAATCTCGGCTCACTGCAATCTCCATTTCTGGGGTTCAAGTGATTCTCCTGCCTCAGCCTCCCAAATAGCTGGGATTACAGGCATGCGCCACCACACCTGGCTAATTTTTATATTTTCAGTAGAGATGGGGTTTTGCCATGTTGGCCAGACTGGTCTTGAACTCCTGACCTCAAGTGATCCTCCTGCTTCGGCCTCCCAAAATGCTGGGATTACAGGTGTGATCCACCATGCCTGGTCTCTCTTAACAATTTTCAAGAATATATTGTTATTAAATACAGTCACCAAGTTTTACAATAGATCTTTTGAACTTACTCCTCTTGTCTAGTTGAAATTTTGTATCCTTTGGCCATCTCCACAGTGCCCTCCCCACAAACTACCTACCACTCTACTCTCTGCTTCTATGAGTTCAGCTTTTTAGATTCCACAAGTAAGTGAGATCATGTGGTATTTGTCTTACTGTGTCTGCCTTATTTTATTTTGCATAATGTCCTCTGGGTTCATTCATTTAGTCACAAATGACAGGATTTCCTTCTTTTTGAAGGCTGAATAGTATTCCATTGTGTACACATGCCATAATTTTATCTATCTGTTCATCTGTTGATGAACACTCCATATCTTGGCTATTGTGATTAAGGATATGGTCTACTTTTTTTTGAGAAAGGGTCATGCCCTGTTGCCCAGGATGGAGGGCAGTGGCGTGATCAGAGCTCACTACAGCCTCCAACTCCCAGGCTCGAGAGATCTTCCCACCTCAGTAGCTGGGACTCCTCCCAAGTAGCTGGGACTATAGGCGTGTGTCACCATGCCTGAATAATTTTTTTAAATTTTTTGTAGAAACAGGGTCTCACTATGTTACACAGGCTAGTTTTGAACTTCTGGGCTCAAGCAATCCTCCCACCTTGGCCTCCCAAAGTGCCAGGATAACAGGTGTGAGCCACTATGCCTGGACAAGGATATGGTTTACTGTTAACAATCTGTACATATTTGTGGGGCACATGTGAATTTTTGCTACGTGTATATAATGAGTAGTGGTCAAGTCAGGGTATTTAGTGTGTTTGTCATTTGAGTACAGTATATTTTTGTTAATAACCATACTCTGCTATCAAACCTTGATATATTCCTTCTATTTAACTGTTTGTATCTTTTAACTTACCTCTCTTCATCCTTCTCTCTGCCCCTACCACTCACCCTTTTCAGCCTCTGTTATCTATTTTTCTATTCTCTACCTGCATGTGATCAAAATTTTTAGCTCCCACATACAAGTGAGAATGTGTGATATCTGTCTTCTTGTGCCTGGATTATTTCACTTAAGATAATGACCTCTAGTTCCATCCATGTTGCTGCAAATAATAGAATTTCATTCTTTTTATGGCTGAATAGTTTCCATTGTGTATATATACTACTTTTTCTTTATTCATTCATCCACTGATGGACACTTAGGGTTGATTCCATATCCTTGCTATCATGAATACTAATGCAATAATCGTGCAAGTGCAAGTATCACTTTGATATATTAATTTCTTTTCCTTTGGACAGATAACCACTAGTGGAATGTTGGATCAAATAATTCTATTTTTAATTTTCTGAGCAATCTCTATACTGTTTTTCATAGTGGCTATACTAGTTTACATTCCCACCAACAGTGTATAAGAGTTCTCTTTTCTCTGCATCCTCACCAGCATGTGTTATTGCTTGTCTTTTTAATAGCCATTCTGACTAGGGTAAGCTGATATCTCACTGTGGAACTGATTTACATTTCCCTGATGATTAGTGATGTTTAGCACTGTTTCATATACCTATTGACCATTGGTATGTCTTCTTTTGAGAAACATCTACTATTGATGTCCTTTGCCCACTTTTTAATGTTTATTTTTCTTGTTGAATTATTTGAGTTCCTCGTATATCCTGGATATTAGTCCCTTGCTGGAAGAACAGTTTGCAAATACTTTATCCCATTGAAGAGATTGTAGCTGCACTCTGTTGATAATTTATTTTGCTGTGCAGAAGATTTTTAGTTTAATTAAGTCCCTTTTGTCGATTTTTGGTTTTGTTCTTTGTGCTTTTGAGGTCTTAGTCATAAATTATTTGCCTAGAAAAACGTCCAGGAACATTTTCCTTAGGTTTTTCCCTCATATTTTAATAGCTTTGGGTCTTACATTTAAGTCCTTGATCCATTCTGAGTTGATTTTGTATATGGTGGGAGATAGGGGTCCAGGTTCATTGTCCTATATGGGGCTATTAAGGATATGGTCTACTTTTAATTCAAAGGCTGCTTTATTTATTTTATTTTTTTTTAGACAGAGTCTCACTCTGTTGCCAAGCTGGAGTACAGTGGTGCGATCTAGGCTCACTGCAGTCTCCACCTCCCGGGTTCAAGTGATTCTACTGCCTCAGCCTCCCGAGTAGCAGGGATTACAGGTACGCACCACCACAGTCAGCTAAGTTTTTTTGTATTTTTAGTAGAGATGGGGTTTCACCATGTTGGCCAGGATGGTCTCGATCTCCTGACTCCGTGATCTGCCTGCCTTGGCCTCCCAAAGTGCTGGGATTACAGGTGTGAGCCACTGTGCCTGGCCTGCTACTTTATTCTTTTAAAAACTGGCCATAGCAATAAGTAGCATCTCCACATTTTTCACTTAAACTAGAGCTTTAGTAGTAATGATCTCACAGGAAAAGAAAGATCACCCACATGGCAAAAGATAGCATACTCTTTTGTGATCAAAACAGCACTGTCTTGTGTGTTTTTAAACGTTTTAAACATTTAAAAGGTCAAATATACAAACCAAAACCTCCATAGGCAAAACTGTACTAAAAAATTACTTCCAAGTTTTGAGCCTATATATCAAGACAAAAATAATTGTGCCCTATTGCAACAATGGGAGCCAGTTTTTGAGAGTCAGTTTTCTACATAATCCAGTTTGTATACATTGGATTTCATCTCTATGTCATTTATTTACTCAGTACAGACACACATAGAGACAAAAAAAAGTATATGATTTTTACACTTTCTAACATCTTCAACTATTATTAGGGCCATTTAAAAAAAATGAAATGTAAATTTCTTCTGCATACAAGGGTGGACAGTGTTGCTGTATGGAGAGCTTAAAGGATGTAATGCATCTAAGGACAAGAAAGTAATAGCTCTATTACACTATTATTAAAATTCTATGCTCAGTTTGGGATAGTATAAAAGAATATTGGAAAAGTAAAAAAAGGTAAAAGCAACCAAAGTAACTGAAAGGAAAACACATTTAAAAGGAAGATTTCAGTAAGTCAGGGTGATTTAACCTTAAGATAAGGAAGCTAAAGGATGAATTAGATTTTAAGTTCAGATACATAATATAAAAATGTTAGAAATGTACAGAAGATTTAAAATTTTTCAAATGGACTTTATCAGTAAAGATTTTAGTTGACTATAGGGGAAAAAATAGAGGAGAAAATCTAGGAATGGAAAAGAGATACCAGAGGTGGCTGGAGAAAGAAGTGAGAAGAATAATCCTGGTTGTGGGGAAGGGAACAGGAACTGGTGACCAGAGGCAGAGTCACATCAGGGAAGGTTTCAGGCTACAGAAATAGAGTTTGGGGAATGGAGAGATGTGTTAAAGGATCTTTAAGGAAATGACTCTGGATAAGATGAAGGGTAACCTCTGTTCTCTCTCTTTCAATAATGATCTGCTTCACCTTACAGTGCTTTTGGTATGGATTCATGTAATTTGGTTTCATTTTATTTTAATGCTACAGATGGATGAAATTGGGATTAAGATAGGCAGATGAGTGAGAAAGGTCTAGCTCAAAGGCCTAGTTTTTTATTCCATTATATGAAACACCATTTGAGTGAATACCTCAGAGCATAAATGTTTGAGGGCATTTCTAATTACTTCCTCAGTAGAGGTCTTAAAGTAAAATTGCTCAAAGTCTGGGATGTTTACATTCTTCAGAAAATTTGTCCCATCCTTGCTAAATCTATAAAATACACTTTTTTCTCTGTTCTCCTGGCTTTTCTACATAAAATATAAGTTTAATGCATTGCTGGACTTGTTAGAAGTAAACAACAACAAAAATGTAAGCTGAAACCAGAGCCAGAAAAGAGAAGCAGCAAGCAAAGAAGAAAGGCAGGTATGCTGTGGGCAATGCCTGTGCTGACACTGCCAGACAAGGCCCTTGGCAAACACAAGGAAACTGAGCCGAGCCCACAATTCCTACATTAAAATAAAGGCTCTGGAAGAGGGTTAAAGTGAGTATTAACCTTTAACCCTCTTGTGAGGCTGTGAGTATTCCTTGACTCTGGAAAGCAGATAATTTTCTTTAGCAAAAAATTATCTAGGCCTCTAGGAGTCCCACA